CGTGTACTATAATTAGGGAAAGATTCATACAATTAGTGGCATATGCGGGTGCCTTCTGCTTAGTTTCATATAGACAATGTCGATAAATTAAACACATGACACCGCCTACGACTGCTTCACCTCACCTGTCTGCAACATATAAGCGTATGTTATATTATCAAGACTGATTACATCGACTCCAGGCTGAGACTTATTACCTCAATTTACTTCTGATTTTCACTATTCTTTTTAGTACTGGACTGATGAAGCCACTGTGTAGCGAAACGTTTACAAAACAAGGACACCCGTGTTTAACTTATCAACTTGTTTCTCTGAACCATTTATCTACATATAGATCATTCCTGGTTTTGGTTTCTGTGCGATAACTTGGCAATGCGTCCTCCGATCGGCTCCAAACTTTCAGCAATTGTGTATTCTACTTTAGGAGGAGGTTGGTACTGTTATTGTAGTAGAGAAGTCCAACAAGAAGTATACAAGTGCACTTCTCCCCTTCGTTCACGACTGCAGAGAACAGGCACGACAAATTCTCAACAGGTGTGATGAAAAGCAGTTTTGAAAACCGAGATGGTGAAGAATGAGGCACCTGTGCAACATCTGGGAATCTTGCACCAGTGTTTTCACTCTTCAAATTCCCGAGACACAGTAGATCTATAAATCCACAGATGTGCAGTCCTACCACATTATTAGCATTGGTGCCACCGCTGTCACTTAGAGGAGCTGACAGTGGTTACTGCTCACAAGAAAAAAAAAACTTATCGCTAGTAAAGCCAGGGTATACACTTCCCCGAAAACCTGCATTTCTTTCATAGGTATATACGATACGAGATATACTCGATACCATGCAGGGAGGCTGCAACAGTCTGCGTAGGGAAAATCTCCCACAGAACTACAAACACGCATTACTTAACACACATCTGTCTTGTTATACAATCTCAATGAAGGAATGATACATAGGAAGTGATCCCACACCATGGCGACGACCAGTGACCCACACCATAGTGACGACCACAGTGATCCCACACCATAGTGACGACCACAGTGATCCCACACCATAGTGACGACCACAGTGATCCCACACCATAGTGACGACCACAATGATCCCACACCATAGTGACGACCACAGTGATCCCACACCATAGTGACGACCACAGTGATCCCACACCATAGTGACGACCACAATGATCCCACACCATAGTGACGACCACAGTGATCCCACACCATGGCGACGACCAGTGATCCCACACCATGGCGACGACCACAGTGATCCCACACCATGGCGACGACCACAGTGATCCCACACCATAGTGACGACCACAGTGATCCCACACCATAGTGACGACCACAGTGATCCCACACCATAGTGACGACCACAGTGATCCCACACCATAGTGACGACCACAGTGATCCCACACCATAGTGACGACCACAGTGATCCCACACCAGTGACGACCACAGTGATCCCACACCATAGTGACGACCACAGTGATCCCACACCATAGCGACGACCACTGATCTCACACCATGGCGACGACCACAGTGATCCCACACCATGGCGACGACCGCAGTGATCCCACACCATGGCGACGACCGCAGTGATCCCACACCATGGGGACGACCACAGTGATCAAAAAATAAAAACATACCCAACACTCACTCAGCCATTTCCAACAAGAAATCGTCACTGGTGGTGGTTAAAGCAATTATCGCCCGTAACCACCAATTTGCCACATAGGTAATTGGTAACTAGGCGCTCACTTGCAATTAGGTGCCATATATGTCACCTTAATTAGGCACTAATGTGTTAGTAGACCCGCCTAGGGCACTGATGCCACGCGTGTGTGTGTGTGTGTGTGTGTGTGTTCTATTTACTCACTTATTTGTGGTTTCAGAGGTCGATTCACAGCTCATGGCCCCGCCTCTTTGCTGGTCGCTCTTAGGTCCACTCTCTCCCCGCTCCACGAACTTGATCGTACTTCTTAAAACTCTGTAAGCATCCTGCCTCCACTACATCACTCACCAGACTGTTCCACTTCCTGACAACTCTGAATACATACTTCCTAACATCCCTGTGACTCGTCTGTGGGTACACACGTTCTCACCTATCTGTGGTTGCTAGGGGTCGAGTCTCGGCTCCTAACCCCAATTAAAGACAGACCTACTATTATACTGTTGGAAACTTCTAAACTGAAATGGATCGCACAGCACAATGGGAATTACACGGGAAGAGGTTTAATCCGAGGAAGGGGAATCGTGGAATCTACTCCATGGATCAAGAATTCTTTGGCATCAAAGTAACCCTCCTCCCCCTCTACGTGTAGTAGATAGGCTTTAAACCTAACATACTAGCTGTGACAAGCACCATCCCCCCTCCCCAAACTTAGCAGGGGGGGGATCACTCAGGTCAGCCCGGGAGGGGGGAGGATCCTACCGCCATTAAGAAAAATTGAAGACATAATAGAATGGATTAAGACATGCAGTATTACCAACTACGGTGACTTACCTTTCAGAGATACGAGCCACAGTGTTGCCAAGTAGATGTTTGCGGTGGGACGCATCTTCGCCTTTCTGGCAACTATGGCTTCGTTATAAGGCACCGCTCGATATACGTATATAAACGTTTTTCTTCACACTTGCATAGTCTCCAGCACACTCACCGCTTCAAAGTTATTTTCTATTATGGATTAAAAATGTGCTGGAAGGACGGCCATGGTGGCTCCTCTGACTAGATGATTACTGTTATTTTTACAATCAAAACTAGGTGCTAAACCCACAGGGAGATTATTATATCATGATCATTCTGCGTTCAAGAATCATGTCTATTTCTGATGGAGGTAGTGACCACTGACCACCAGGTTATTCACTGACGACCTCCTGGACAAGTAATTCCTGCAGAATATATTGGCCAGTGCCCACGATACTGTCACTTACTAAGTCCTTCCTGTACAAGCACTTCCATCCTGCAGAAGATACTGGCCAGTGTCCACAACACTGTCACTAAGGACCTCCGAAGTACAGAGTGCGTCCTCGAAGTCTGTAAGCAAAAATATTTACTGTACAATTATTATATTCAGTCCTGTTTAATACACAGTTTATGAAGAAAATGTTGAAACACAGGATACAAGGAAAAAACTACAAACTCCTCCACACACTATTTCTAACTTCTCTCACTGTCTCGTGCTGTCCCTTCACATTCAGAATGTTGTGCGAGAGAGAACGCAGAGCAGCTGTCAAACACTACTATTAAGATTAATTTGCCAGTAGTAGCAACTGTCAGGTGGAGCGAGGGTTTCTCAGGGTTTAGGTGGAAGCCTCCTCTACCCTCAAGGGCAAACCTTGTCCCAGACTCACCCAGTGAACCATAACACTCACCCTCTACCCTACACCCGAGGACTAAGGACCCACTTAATTATTGGGATAACTGACGATACCTAATGTTGACATATATAGGAGCTGGGCACATGCCCAACCTCTCACCCGGGCACATTCACAAGACTTGTACCTGGACTTAGGAAATAGTTCAGTACCAGGTACCTGTCTGAATGGGCAATGCCAAGACACTTAAATAGCTTTTCTAAGTGGTTAAGTGGGTGGTGAGCGATGGTGATCCGAGTGTCAAGTGGTGGAGGGCTAAGTCACATATTCCTGCAAGCAAGCGCACAATATTGACCGAGGACAGAGGCTCTGAACTTCACTCAGAGAAAGACCTAGGGGTGAGCATAGTGCCTAGTTTATCACTAGTCTACCTACCTGGAGTCTACCTGGAGGGCATTCCGGGGATCAACGCCCCCGCGGCCCGGTCCATGACCAGACCTCCCGGTGGATCAGGACCTGATCAACGAGGTTGTTACTGCTGCCCGCACGCAATCCACCGTACGAACCACAGCCCGGCTGATCCGGCAGTCTTTAGGTATCTGTCCAGCTCCCTCTTGAAGACAATCAGGGGCTCGCATCAACCAAATAACTTTTGCAGCCAGTGCTCCCCGGGCAAATCTAAGTGTCTGCCTTCAGGAATCTCAACAAAGTCATTCCGGGCTCTTTAAACAACGTATGTCAGGCCCATCTTAAGAGTACACAGCACCAGTATGGAACCCACACTTGAGGAAGCATGTTAAGAAAGTGGAGACAAGTACAACCAGCACAGTTCCACAACTGACTGGTATGAGCTGCGAGGAGAGGCTAGTGTAACTGAATAACTAAACTGGAGGACAGAAGAACCATAGGAGATATAACATACAAATTACCCAGAGGATGGACAGGGATAGGCCGAGAGGCGAGACACAGCTGGACGAGCCACAGGGATGTCAGAAAGTACCTCTGCAGTCCAAGGGTTGTCGTGAAATGAAATGAAATGACCTCTACTACGAAGTAGAGGCAGGTTACATAAAAAATGATAAGAACAGGTACGATAGGGCCCACGTGGATAGGAATCGGTGAACCCGAAAACGACCAATTAGCTAAGAGGAGGCAGAAGCAGAGGTTCGACCCTCAACAAACCTTAATAACTAGGCGCGCACACAGCCAGGAGCTGTGACCCGACCCCTGTAACCACATATAGGAAAGTACACACACATTGTCCTGCTCATCCCTTCATAAACAAATCACAACATACACAAAAAAGGCCGAAAAATACCCACAATGTCCATTAGGTTGCCAACATATAATTATTGAATTAGGATGAGGCTAGTGTTTCTTAGGGCGCCGCTCTGAATATAGTATTACTGCTGACTACTGGCGCACGTATAAATGTACTCATGTACTCACCACTAGTGAAGCTAATGCACTCACCACTAGTGAAGCTATGCACTCACCACTAGTGAAGCTAATGCACTCACTAGTGAAGCTATGCACTCGCCACGAGTGAAGCTATGCACTCGCCACGAGTGAAGCTATGCACTCGCCACGAGTGAAGCTATGCACTCGCCACGAGTGAAGCTATGCACTCGCCACGAGTGAAGCTATGCACTCGCCACGAGTGAAGCTATGCACTCGCCACGAGTGAAGCTATGCACTCGCCACGAGTGAAGCTATGCACTCGCCACGAGTGAAGCTATGCACCGCCACGAGTGAAGCTATGCACGCGCCACGAGTGAAGCTATGCACTCGCCACGAGTGAAGCTATGCACTCGCCACGAGTGAAGCTATGCACTCGCCACGAGTGAAGCTATGCACTCGCCACGAGTGAAGCTATGCACTCGCCACGAGTGAAGCTATGCACGCGCCACGAGTGAAGCTATGCACGCGCCACGAGTGAAGCTATGCACTCGCCACTAGTGAAGCTATGCACTCGCCACTAGTGAAGCTATGCACTCACCACTAGTGAAGCTATGCACTCACCACTAGTGAAGCTATGCACTCACCACTAGTGAAGCTATGCACTCACCACTAGTGAAGCTATGCACTCATTACTAATTTGCAATTATCGAAATTATACAATAATTATATATAAAAAATATCGGTCACACTTCATTGCATCAGTTCCAGACGAGCTCATCTGAAGGACCTTTCAATTTTACGATATATACACAGAGAAGTGTATATCTTTCAGCGTATATACAGTATACTAAAAGTATAACATGAAGCCAGGTCTGATCACATGGAGGTCAGGCGTTAGTCATGCGAGGTTATATCACATATTCCAAGGTTAATTTCCAGTCTTTGATGAATAGCGGATTTCTATTATATATTCACTGGTATATTTCGGGGGTTTATATATAAAATCGGTGGTCTGGTGGCTAAAGCTCCCGCTTCACACACGGAGGGCCCGGGTTCGATTCCCGGCGGGTGGAAATTCCGACACGTTTCCTTACACCTATTGTCCTGTTCACCTAGCAGCAAATAGGTACCTGGGTGTTAGTCGACTGGTGTGGGTCGCATCCTGGGGGGACAAGATTAAGGACCCCAATGGAAATAAGTTAGACAGTCCTCGATGACGCACTGACTTTCTTGGGTTATCCTGGGTGGCTAACCCTCCGGGGTTAAAAATCCGAACGAAATCTCTCTCTCTTAAACAATACGAGGGTGAAGGTGTTAGGGTCATTAAGCCTACACGTTACCTGTTCACCTGTCAAGAATACTTTAATGCCTAAGACACTGTATGAACTTAGTATATACACAGATACACTCCCCTTAATGTATATCCAGTGTTATAGTGTTTAATATTTTAACAACTGCATATCCTCATAAGGAGCAGCACTGCAGCAGGCCTACTGGCCCAAGCCAGTCCAGATCAGTCGCATACCTGGAGAGGGTACCGGGGGTCAACGCCCCCGCGGGCCGGTCCGTAACCAGGCCTCGTGGTGGATCAGAGCCTGATCAACCAGGCTGTTACTGTCGGCCGCACGCAGACCGATGTACGAACCACAGCCTGGCTAGTTAGGTACTGATTATGTCATAAGTTAACTTTGCTAAACTAATATAAAACAGTATAATTTACCTAAACTAAGAATTAACATAAATTGATTGAAATTTTTCTGGGTAACGAGTCAGCAGGAGACTAGACTTCCTTACAATTATGTTATTACTCACGGGTTTATAAACTGCTTCGGTAGAGGTAATTAGGTCTGATCCAAGGAGAGGAGTAGCTCCAACCCCCTGAATCAAGAGACGCCTCACCCCCTCCTACCTATATTTAAAATATGTTAAGATACTTCCTGGAAGGCTACAAACATTATTAATTATCTAAATTACTCTGACGCTGCTCGACACCAGATCATTTATCAATGTCATTAACAGACCTTAACAAAACAATGCTTTTTCCTCTTAATTTTGATGTTAATATCTATGAAAAATATATAAAAATAAAAAAATATATACTATTATTATTATTAATATTAACCGTTTTCAAGGGAAGAGATAAAGCCGTATGGGCCATACAGCACCTGGGGGAGTAACTAAATATATATTAATTATGGTTAATATTTAACTAGAAATATGGTATACACAGAGGTATATACACTGAAGTGCATATACCACGTCACCAGCATCTATTACAGTCACTGTAACCACTACATTGTTACCAGTATATTACACTGCAACCAGCATCTATTACACAGCTACCAGCATTATTACACTGCTACCAGCATCTATTACACTGCAACCAGCATCTATTACACAGCTACCAGCATTATTACACTGCTACCAGCATCTATTACACTGCAACCAGCATCTATTACACTGCAACCAGCATCTATTACACAGCTACCAGCATTATTACACTGCTACCAGCATCTATTACACTGCAACCAGCATCTATTACACTGCAACCAGCATCTATTACACAGCTATCAGCATTATTACACTGCTACCAGCATCTATTACACTGCTACCAGCATCTATTACACTGCAACCAGCATCTATTACACAGCTATCAGCATTATTACACAGCTACCAGCATTATTACACAGCTACCAGCATCTATTACACTGCTACCAGCATTATTACACAGCTACCAGCATCTATTACACTGCTACCAGCATTATTACACTGCTACCAGCATTATTACACTGCTACCAGCATCTATTACACTGCTACCAGCATCTATTACACTGCTACCAGCATCTATTACACTGCTACCAGCATCTATTAGTTACCAGCATCTATTACACTGCTACCAGCGTCTATTACACTGCTACCAGCGTCTATTACACTGCTACCAGCGTCTATTACACTGCTACCAGCATCTATTACACTGCTACCAGCATCTATTACACAGCTACCAGCATCTATTACACCGCTACCAGCATCTATTACACCGCTACCAGCATCTATTACACAACTACCAGCATCTATTACACAACTACCAGCATCTATTACACAACTACCAGCATCTATTACACAACTACCAGCATCTATTACACCGCTACCAGCATCTATTACACCGCTACCAGCATCTATTACACAACTACCAGCATCTATTACACAACTACCAGCATCTATTACACCGCTACCAGCATCTATCACACCGCTACCAGCATCTATTACACCGCTACCAGCATCTATCACACCGCTACCAGCATCTATTACACCGCTACCAGCATCTATCACACCGCTACCAGCATCTATTACACCGCTACCAGCATCTATCACACCGCTACCAGCATCTATCACACCGCTACCAGCATCTATCACACCACTACAAGCATCTATCACTTACCATCTATCTATAACAGTTACTATCGCCGTGAAATTGAACAATCACCACTTTTCTCAACACTACAAAGTTGTTACAACTGCAACACAGTCTGTAACAGCCACCACGTCACCGTCACTGTCTCTACGGTGACAACACACAGTGATACTAGTCACTGTAGTGTGTTAAGCGTGTGAGGAGCGAAGCTCAGCACGTCTACCCTCCCCCGTGTCTCAGAGGTGACTGACCAGTGACCAACCCTCTACAAGCCACGTGAAGCAGCTTCCACCACACACAAGTTGGGTTTTAATGGGGGGGGTTTTGAAACCTGCCACGTTTTGAAACCTCTCACTTTCTGAAACCTGAACCACTGCATGCATGCCAGTAACATACTGGTTGGGTAAATGCGATGTTTCACTCAATGGCACCTTATTAATGGCGACACTTCGCCCATAATCATTGTAGCCATGATAGTAGTCTTGAGAGATACGTCTGGGACTACACCTGTTCTGCCACTGTGGTGGACACCTGCTTGCCATACTCTGAAGCTGAAGGGTCTGGAGCCGCCAGCTACAGGGAGACCCAGACCCGTAAATATGAAGACCTACCCCCTTGTTTTAACTTCATCCCAGTAGAGTCAGAAACCCATGGGGCAAGTGTGCTCTAAAGTTCCTCAGAGAACTGGGCGAAAGGCTCATCACAGAAACTAAGGATCACAGAGCGGCCAGCTTCCTCTTTCAGATACTCAGTGTTGCGATCCAGAGGGGAAATGCCTGTAGCATTCTGGTCACGCGACCCACCGCCAGGGAGCTGGACGAGTTATGTTGTTCTACTCCCTATTGTGTTTTAGTCAATGTATCTTGTCTTTAAATAAAGTCTACATAGAATATAGAATATAAGGGGTGGTAGGAGAAGAAAATATTCAAACAGTTCCGGGGAGAACCTCGAGTTTTCCCGGAAGTTTATTCTTTTCTCTGAGGATGAGGGTCCCCAACACAGTTCCAAAAGTGGTACTTCCCTATATATATATATATATATATATATATAATATATATATATTATATATATATATATATATATATATATATATATATATAATATGTCGTGCCGAATATGTAAAACTGGTCAATTAGCAAGAACTCATTTAAAATTAAATCCTTTCTAAAATTTTCTCTTATACGTTTAAAGATATATTTTTTTCATTAATGTTAATGTAAAAAAATTTTAATTTTGCACCAAAAGAATCTTAGAAAACTTACCTAACCTTATTATAACAAGAGTAATTTATTTTAGCCTAACCCAACTAAATATATTTTAGATTTGTTTACAATAATTTAATACTAAACAAACACAGTGAAATATATTTTTTTTCGTTAGGTTCAGAATGATTTTGGCGAAATTATTGCATACACAAATTTTCACTTGTCTTATATGGCAAGATGAACGTTGCTATTTAAGCCAAGATCGCAAGTTCTGCCTATTCGGCACGACATATATATATATATATATATATATTATATATATATATATATATATATAATTAATATATATTATTATATATTTATATATAATATATAGCGTATATATATACAGGGGTTTTTAAAAGGATGAACCCAGTAATGTATATATATTTTGAGTTAATTAAAATAATCACTAGATGGTTGGAGTAATAAGAGGGTATATTGTACGTTGTTGAGGCTATACTGTACGTTGTTGAGGCTATTGTACGTTGTTGAGGCTATACTGTACGTTGTTGAGGCTATACTGTACGTTGTTGAGGCTATTGTACGTTGTTGAGGCTATTGTACGTTGTTGAGGCTATTGTACGTTGTTGAGGCTATTGTACGTTGTTGAGGCTATACTGTGGGTTGTTGAGGCTATACTGTACGTTGGTGAGGCTATATTGTACGTTGTTGAGGCTATACTGTACGTTATTGTAGTATACGACACGAAAATTAACAGGGGGAAATGGTTATCTTCTACGCCATGAACATGTCTCCCACGATCATGTATTTTAATAATGATGTGGTAAAGTTAATTTCTTGTTTCTTAGCCTCGCCTCGTGATTCCTATTCACTGTTTGCACCATACAGATTTATCTCTTCCCTATTATCATAATAATAGTAATGTGTGTGTACTCCCCTATATGTGGTTGCTGGGGTCGAGTCACAGCTCCTGGCCCCGCCTTCGGTGTGTGTAAAATGAACGTATCTAGTTGTAAGTCTCCTTTTAATTATATCTTTGCTTAAAATACATGTAACTTATGTTCTGTAATCTGTCTCTCTCTCTGTCTCTCTGTCTCTCTCTGTCTCTAGTCTCTGTCTCTCTTGTCTCTCTCTGTTCTCCTCGTTCCTCTGTCTTCTCTCTCTCTCTCTCTCTCTCTCTCATCTCTCTCTTCTCTCTCTCTCTCTCTCTCTGTCTTTGTCTCTCTGTCTTCTCTGTTCTTCTCTGTCTCTCTCTCTCTTCTCTCTCTTCTCACTCTCTCTCTCTTCTCTCTCTCTTCTTTATGTCTCTGTCTCTGTATCTGTCTCTGTTTTTGTTTCTGTCTCTCTCTCTCTCTCTCTTCTCTCTCTTCTCTCTCTCTTGTCTCTCTCTTCTCTCTCTCTCTCCCTCTCTTCTCTCTCCTTCTACTCTCTCTCTCTCTCTCTCTCTCTCTCTCTCTTCTCTCTCTCTCTCTCTCTCTCTCTTCTCTCTGTCTCTCTCTGTCTCTCTCTGTCTCTGTCTCTCTGTCTCTCTGTCTCTTCTCTCTCTCTCTCTCTCTTCTCTCTCTCTTCTCTCTCTCTCTCCTCTCTCTCTCTCTTCTTTTCTCTTCTCTTCTCTCTCTCTCTCTTCTCTCTCTTCTCTCTCTTCACGCTTTTACTAAGGCATGTTTCGCTCTTTGTAAGTTATCTTTTGCACTTGACAAATACTCAAAAAGATAAAAATCTTATCTGAAGTTGTGCTTATGTCTGGAACATTGTTCTCCCCAGTCAGCCACAACCTGGGGCTGCAACACTTGTTCTCCCAGTCCAGTTCCACGTACCTGGGGCTGCCAACTTGTTTTTCTCCTCGTTCAGCCACGACCTGGGGGATGCCACACATTGTTCTCCCCAGTCCAGTCCACGTACCTGGTGCTGCCTACATTGTTCTCCCCCAGTCCAGCCACGACTGGGCTGCACACATTGTTCTCGCTCTGTCCAGCCATGACCTGGGTTGTATTCTGCACTCATTGTACTTCCCCAGTCAGCCATCGACTGAGGTTGGCTGCCTAACTTGTTGCTCCCCAGTCCAGCCACGACCTGGGGGCATGCCACACTATTGTTCTCCCCAGTTCCAGCCCACGACTGGGGGCTGCCACACATTGTTCTCCCCCAGTCAGCCCACGACCTGGGGGCTGCCACACATTGTTCTCCCCAGTCCAGCCCTCGACCTTGGGGGCTGCCACACATTGTTCTCCCCCAGTCCAGCCCAGACCTGTGGTGGCTGCCCACATTGTTCTCCCCCGCTCCAGCCCACGACCTGGGGCTGCCAACAATTGTCTCTCCCCGTCAGCCCATCTGGGGCTGCTCAAACATTGTTCTCCCCAGTCCAGCCCACGACCTGGGGCTCTCACATCTTTGTTCTCCCCCGTCCCCTACTACCTGGGGGCTGCCACACATTGTTCTCCCGTCCAGCCCACGACTGGGCTGCCTCACTCCATTGTTCTCCCCCAGTCCTCGCCCACGTCCTGGGGGCCTGCCCACTTTGTTCTCCCCATCCAGCTCACGACCTGGGGGCTGCACATTGTTCTCCCCAGTCTCAGCCCACACCTGGGGCTTGCCTCACTTGTTCTCCCCCGTTCCAGCCCACGACCTGGGGGCTGCCCACACATTGTTCTCCCAGTCCAGCCCCACGACCTGGGGCTGCTCACATTGTTCTCCCCAGTCCAGCCCCACGACCTGGGGGCTGCCACACATTGTTCTCCCCCAGTCCAGCCCACGACCTGGGGCTTGCCACACTTGTTCTCCCCAGTCCAGCCCACGTCCTGGGGGCTGCCACATCATTGTTCTCCCCCGTCCCTGCCCCGACCTGGGGCCCTGCCACACATTGTCTCTCTCCCCAGTCCAGCCACGACTGGGGACTGCAACACATTGTTCTCCCCAGTCCAGCCCTACGACCTGGGGCTGCCACAACATTGTTCTAACACAGTCCAGCCCAACGTACTGGAGGTGGCTTGCCGACACATTGTTCTCCCCCAGTCCAGCCCACGACCTGGGGGCTGCCACACATTGTTCTCCCCCAGTCCAGCCCACGACCTGGGGGCTGCCACACATTGTTCTCCTCCAGTCCAGCCCACGACCTGGGGACTGCCACACATTGTTCTCCCCCAGTCCAGCCCACGACCTGGGGGCTGCCACACATTGTTCTCCCCCAGTCCAGCCCACGACCTGGGGACTGCCACACATTGTTCTCCCCCAGTCCAGCCCACGACCTGGGGCTGCCACACATTGTTCTCCCCCAGTCCAGCCCACGACCTGGGGGCTGCCACACATTGTTCTCCCCCGTCCAGCCCACGACCTGGGGACTGCCACACATTGTTCTCCCACGTCCAGCCCACGACCTGGGGACTGCCACACATTGTTCTCCCCCGTCCAGCCCACGACCTGGGGACTGCCAAACATTGTTCTCCCCCGTCCAGCCCACGACCTGGGGACTGCCACACATTGTTCTCCCCCGTCCAGCCCACGACCTGGGGACTGCCACACATTGTTCTTCCCCGTCCAGCCCACGACCTGGGACTGCCACACATTTGTTCTCCCCCGTCCAGCCCACGACCTGGGGACTGCCACACATTGTTCTTTCCCCGTCCAGCCCACGACCTGGGGACTGCCAACATTGTTCTCCCCCGTCCAGCCCACGACCTGGGGACTGCCACACATTGTTCTCTCTCCGTCCAGCCCACGACCTGGGGACTGCCACACATTGTTCTCCCCGTCCAGCCCACGACCTGGGGACTGCCACACATTGTTCTCCCCCGTCCAGCCCACGACCTGGGGACTGCCAAACATTGTTCTCCCCCGTCCAGCCCACGACCTGGGGACTGCCACACATTGTTCTCCCCCGTCCAGTCCACGACCTGGGGACTGCCACACATTGTTCTCCCCCGTCCAGCCCACGACCTGGGGACTGCCACACATTGTTCTCCCCCGTCCAGCCCACGACCTGGGGACTGCCACACATTGTTCTTCCCCGTCCAGCCCACGACCTGGGGACTGCCACACATTGTTCTCCCCCGTCCAGCCC